TATATGTATGGCTTTGTAAGAATATTGTATTTATATATATGGCTTTGTAAGACCAAATATTAAGACTATATTTATATATGGCTTTGTCAGACTATATATATATATGGCTTTGTAAGACTATATATATATATATATGGCTTCGTAAGACTAAATACATCTATGGCTTTGCAAGACTAAATATATATATGGCTTTGTAAGACTATATATATATGGCTTTGTAAGACTATATATATATATATATGGCTTTGTAAGACTATATATATATATGGCTTTGTAAGACTATATATATATATGGCTTTTTATTCAATACACGCAATCGTAGAGCACTCGGAGTTGAAGGCCATTAGATCGCACTGGGCCACGGTATACAGAACGCCAAATATTTCCGTCATAGGCTGCACACCGTGTTCTACAATGTCATCACAGTGGGGGACCATAGCGGCGGCCCGTCTGTGTGCTGGAGGATGTACAAAGGTATGTTCACTTCAAACTTAGTAAGAACAACTTCAATCTGAATTGCGTTCGAAGGCTTCTTGTCGCCAGTGTGACGCTTGCGACCATGTGGTTTCATTTATGCATCTGGCTGTGGTTGAGATATCAGTCACGTTGAACCGAAGTGTGTGTATTCACGTGTTTGTGGTCATATCTCGCCTCACCTCTCATTCGTTCTCTACTCTTCCTCTGTCTATTAAACTCAGGAATCAACAATCACGACGAAACCGAGACAGCTTTCGAACACGATCTCAATATGAAATTCTCGGACTCTATCGATGCCTTGGATGAACACACTGTTTTCCACCGTCAGATTCACGATGAGATCCAGGCGATGCATACTAAAAGCAGAGAAGCAGGTCTGAGTTTGGATTGGATTGGGTATATGCTTACCACTACTTACGACGACAGGGGCCGTACGATCTATACCCCGGGTCAGAAGGCGGTTTTCTTTAAATGTTCATACCACGTACGAGAACATTGACACTTACGTCGCCCTCTGGAAGCGCTTGAATGACAAGTATGACGGACCAACGGACACACGATCCTTCAAGAAGTTTAAGCAATGATTGGAGAGGTGAACCCTAAACCATAAAGTGTCACTAACCATCCAATTTAACTAGCTGAAAATATATACACGTATATAATTCACTAGTTGCAGGCCATATTATAATAGATCAGTGTTTGTATCGGTTTTAATAAAGAGTGAACTGTACATTCATTGGTTGAAGGGCTGCAATGCACATCATACTTGGTAACCGGCATAATAGTTATTTGTCCACATTCACCATTTTTTATTCTAGACGACTAGTTTAGCCGCCTTCTATTGCAAAGTGATATAGAATTTGGTTGTCAGTTGTAGGGCGGTGTTCACCTACAGCAACTCGAACCCCTACACTTGATAGAGAAATACCCAGCACACTTAGTGGTATACCTATAGTACGGTGTATTGTGCTTGAATCCGTTCCTGCACCTATGTGATGTGATACCACCACACTTGTAGTATTTAACTGCTGGATTTATAGAGTCCGATAGGGGGGGGGAGGTTACACTGGTCGTGTCGGTTAGAGGTTCACAGCGCGTGGATTCGGTGCATCTGGGCACGTCAGATAGGCAATTAAAACCAGCACTGAACCCTTGGTGTTTGTCTGTCGGTCCGTATCACAGTGAATTCGAGCGTGTTTGCATTTTACAGGATGCGAGAACTGGTTCCTCTCGCAGCACAAACGGATTTCAACTCCGGTGCTCCAGGCTGACAATAGTCGTTGCCATCGAACAACTTCTCATACGTAATTGCCTCCCCATATCCACAGTGTACAGACGAATTCGTAAACTTTTTGGGCGAGTCGTATCTTTTTTCATTGGAGCAGATCTTTTCACTGCATCTGGGCACCCCGGATTCGCTAAACTCTTCGCTTGCGCAACACTACTGATGTCCGTTCCAAGTATATTCTGAACCGTAGAGTACATTGCTATCTTTGCACTTCTTCTGTTCATATTTGCGCTTCGCACAGCAGGTGTAAATGAACTTTTCAATGAATTGCTTTAGCGAAGTCTTGACCTCATTCTTTATGTGAATTTAAATCATTGGGTTCTAGTCTAAAACATGATTGATTTATTGCCCAATACCTGCACACCGCCAAGAGTCAGAATTTTCGATCCCAAACTCAGCAAGTAGAATAGAAATTTGCGTCTGTGTACGTATACAGTACACCGCGTGCTTCTATATAAACTATGACAAAAATAAACATACTCTGGGTTGTATATATCCAATGCAAAGGATGCAAATCCACATTCCTCAAAGCACTACATAGTACTGAACGTAGTTGAAAATAAACTGTCATAAGGCTCAAAAGTGTTTGCGGATACAACAATTGAACTCTCCGTGAGTAGCATTTCTATGGCTATTCCACAGTGTTGCAGTGCCAGACACCTAACAGAGTGATATATACCACACTGCAACCACACTGTCTGCTGTCACAAGCTTTGCACACTGCCCGGGCATATACATTCCTTGAGCCGTATGGGTATATACATTCCTAACGTCGTATCCTTACCGTGCTATATGGACATAAACATTCCTAACGTCGTATCCTTTTTGAGATACATGGGCATATACATTCCTAACCTCGTATCCTTACCGAGCTATATGGGCATAAACATTCTGAATGTCGTATGCTTACTCTGCTATACCCACCAGTCTCTCGCTCACTTCCCACAATCGTTTAGCCGCTGCATCGTCTGTAGCGCCCTTGCTGATACCCGCCACCTTACAGCCAATAAAGTATTCACCCGCACACGCACCCCCCTGCGGCTGTGTGGCCAGGTACACGCTCGACTCCGCCCCTTTCTCGGGCGCTTTGAAGAACAAGCTCAGTACTGAGATCACTGGTTTAACGTACCACGTACTGGAGTTGGCCCCCAGATTAGTAGCCACCGCACCAGGATGCAGGCAGCTTACACTCACACTACATGGTCTGTGACTCTTAATCTCCCTGTCTGCGTTATCTGTTGCTGCACTATCAGCAGCACGTGAGCTTGCGTTGCTCTCGCTGAGGGGGTTGGACGTTTGAACGCCGGTGTCTAATACAGTGTGAGTGTGTGCTTGGGACTCTGTGTCTGTTGATGTGTGCGCTTGTGAGTCTGTGTCTGTGGGTGTGTGTGCTTGTGAGTCTGTGCCTGGTAGTGTGTGTGCACTTTGGGCGGCTGTTCCGGCGGAGACACGGTCCGCTTCATCAACTAGCAATCGCTTGGCCAGTTCACGACTGAATAAGATATTGCACAGCTTCGAGTGGCCGTACACGGGGAAGGTCGAAAAGCCCTTGGCGTAGTTTAAGTCGTCGAAATTAACACAACTCACGAACGAATGGGCCGCAGACGACACATTGACAACCCTGCCACCACACACACCCATGTACGCTTCACCGTTATGTACACACCCTTGTGCATCCTTGCAACTGCTTTGGGGTGTTATATACTTCCCTTCCCTCCCTGACTTGACATTTAGACCTGGGTAGGTAGATATCTTCAGGAGTGGAAGTAGCATGCTGGTTAGTAGGAATGGCCCCAGGTGATTAGTACCGAACATCATCTCATGGCCGTCCACGGTCAGCACACGCGTATCCATGACAACGGCGGCATTGTTGATGAGTACGTCCAGGTGTGTGTAGTTATTGAGGATGCTCTGAGCCGCTTCCCGCACGCTTTGTAAGGACGAGAGATCGCACACCACCACCTAACGCGATAACATCGGAAACAGGCAGACACAGAATAAGCAGTCTGGCAGCGGTAACGTTTGTGGAATGTACACAGAGATATCATTGCACAGGCTTACAAGACTGTGAATCTAGTAATAAATAGGAAAGGTAGAATTCGAGCACATATAACAAAACACGCTATGCATTAAGAGAACAGGAACATCCATGGCATACGTATCGTTTATTAAGGCATACAAATACACACATAAATACATACACACACATACACATACACACACACACACACACACATGTATATATATATATATATAATATATATATATATATATATAATATACATAAATATATATACACACATATATATCAATATATAAATATATATAAACACACACTTTCGCACACACACACACACACACACACACACACACACAC